AGAGAGAGAGAGAGAGAGAGAGAGAGAGAGAGAGAAGAAATTTGTTGATAATCTAAGCGAGGACTGGCTAGTTGAATAAAGGTAGGTAGGTAGATAGGCAAAAGTTGTAAGTAAAAAAAGGAGAGAGTGTAAGGAAGATAATCAATGATGAAAGTGATAAAGATGAATTTGTTAAATAAAGTGTTTCAAGAAACTGAACGATTGAGAGCAATTGATTAAGGTAGATTCAGAAATTTCCAGTGGTGATAAGAGGCGAAAGCGGTGAAAATGGTGAGGCAATGTGATCATAAAGAGTGATGATGATGAATGTTAGAGCTGCACGGGAAAACAAAAAAAGATACATGGTTTGTTTGTTTTCAAGTTTAAATAGTAGTTGTTTGGGAGTACGCGGAATGAATCAAATTTTGTATCGGTTTAAGCATGTGACGCACTTTATGAGCAAAACAAGTGCCTTTTGTTGATTAGGTTGTTTTCATGATAATAAGAACAAGCGGAGTTTATGGTGAGTTTGAGTTGACGCCAGCGGCGGCATCCTCATCGCTGCTGGAGGAGGTGTCCACGATGATCTTCGGAGTTTTGGCCTTTTTAGGAGAGCGAAATATGTTTGTTTTCTTAAACACCGGCTTTTCCTTGGGTTCTTTTGTCTCCTCTTTTGAGTCTTTAGAAGAGAACGTTTTAGATTCTTTCAGCTCTTTGGCCTCGGCTTTTGCCCGTTCCTTCTCTTTGCGTTCCCGTCTCTTCTCCTTTTCTAGTCGTTCGCTTTCCTTCTGGGCCTTTTTGGCCTTTCTGCTCGCGGAAGAGGAGTCCTCTTCAACAAGGTCGATTATCTTTGAGGTGGAGGGTTTCGGCGAAGAGGTGGTCCCCGACTCTCCCCGATCGACAAGGTCGATAATGGCTGTGGCTGAGGTCGACTTTGTGGGCGATTTGCTGGAAATGGTGGCGTGCGACGGTGAGGTGGGCGAAAGAGGCGGCGAGGAGGAGGAGGAGGAAGATGAGGAGGTGAGTGCAAACTCCACAACCTCCTCATCCTTGCTCGGCAACTCTTTTAGCTCTTTGGCAACAGCAGTTTGTTCTTTGTCAGCAACCTCACTTTCCTGATCCTCATCCTTATCCTTGTCCTTGTCCTTATCCGTTTTTTCAGCCTTCTCGGCGGCGGCTGCTTTCTTCTTCAGCTTTCGCTCTTTCTCTTTTTCTTTTTCCGCTTTCAGCCGTTCCTTTTCCAGTCGCTCTTGTTCTCGCTTCTTCTCGGCCTTTTTCTCCTTCTTCCGCTTTTCCTTTTCCTTCTGGCGTTCTCGCTCCTGCTGGCGCTGACGTTCTGCTTCCCGTTCCGCCCGGTCTCGTTCTCGGTCCGTTTTCTCCTTCTCCTTGGCCTCCTTCTCCGCGTCCTTGGCCGCCTTCAGACTGGAAGCGGAGGAGGTGGTCAGCGTGGTGGCCGGCGTGACGCCCGTCGAGGCGTTGAAGTTGTTGATGAAGTTAAAGTCCTTGCCCTTCAGCAGCGTCGCCACCTGTTTGCTCAGCGTGGTGATCTTGCTGTTCATGTCGGTGACGATAGTGGAGTGACTCTTCGACATTGCCTGCACCTTGTCCCGGCACTCGCGTTGCTCCTTGGCGATTTCTGATTTAAGCTCGGTTATCTGAAAACACCAAAATCAAATTTAAAGCCTCTTCTAAACCTTTCATTTGCTTACCTTGATATCCTTCTTGATGATTTCACCATTCTTCGCCTTTAGCTGCCGCTCCAGTGAGAGGATCTTCTCACGCAGCTGCGCTACGGCCACCACATTGTCGGCGGTCTCGGGGCCCAGGTCGGATGAGTAACTAGAGGGCATCAGGGGCACCAGGACGCCGATGTTGTTGCTGTTGTTGCTGTTGTTGTTGTTGGTGCTGCTGCTGCTGTTGTTTCCACTGCTGTTGCCAGTGCCGTTGAGCACAGCCTTGTCACTGCCACTACTATCATTTCCGGCATTGCCATTACTAGAGCCGCCGCCACTTGATGAGGAGGCGTTTGCTGTTGTTGCATTTGAGTTGGGCCCAGATCCTAAGGAGTCACCTTTGTTGGAGTTCACCGAGTTGAGGCCAGCTGTTTGATTGCTGTTTGAAGATGAGGATGTGGTGGTGGTGCTGGTCATGGTACTGAAACTTCCGCCATTGCTTGCAGTGCCGTTATCAATGCGAGGCTTCTTTGGCTTTAGGGAGTCCCAGTTTCCGCCGCCGCCTGATGACGAAGCACCCGTTGATGACAGTCCATTCAGTCCATCAGTGGTGCCGCCATTGCCACTCTCTGAATTGCTGCTGTTTTCCAAAGCTGAATTCGACAGTTCAGGCAGTCTAATAAAAAAAAGTTTGTAACGTTAGCAGCGATAAAGCCAAAAAATAAAAACAAAATTTTACTTTAGCGAGGAAGCAAGCAATGCTGAATCAAATCGCGCCATTGAGCTGGACCGCTTCGTCGAGGATGACGACTGGTGGTGAGAGTTTTGATAGTGATGGTGGTGGTGGCTGGAGCTGCTTCGACTGTGGCCGTGACCGGAGGAACGTGACGAACTGCCACTTCCACTTTGGTACTTGGCCGCCTTGGCCAGGGCCCGCTTGTAGGAGAGCGTGCAGAGCCAGCAGAGGACCTTGCCGTCCAGCTGGCGGCGGCCACTGCTTCGACTGGCGTCACCGGCGGCAGAGGCCTCATCGCCTCGGTTGAAGGCACACCGCTGCTTGCACTGCTCACACTGCACCGGGGCGCCGTACTTCTTCTCCGAGTAGGTGCACCGCTGGCACTTCTTGCCGATGAAGGCCGCCGTCACGGCGCAGTACTCGCAGGCGGTCGGCTAAATAGTTCAAAAAGAAAACTTTAGAAATTTTTAAACATTTAAAACAAAATATAACTTTACCTTGCCGTACTGGCGGACATTGTGCTCGCACTTGCGGCAAATCTTGCTCGACGACTTGGCGCTGCGCTCGCTGTTTTGCTGAAACTCCGTGCGACAGTAGCCGCACTTGATGATCACCACCTCGAGACGGCACGTCTAAATGGAAAATGGGAAATTGAAAAACAAAACAAATGAGTACAATATAATTGATTCTTTGTCATTTCATTGCAGCCATTTCATCGCAAGCCATTTCATCGCGAGCCATTTCATCGCAAACCTTTTTATCGCACGACCTTTTCATCGCGAGCCTTTTCATCGCATGCAAACTAGTTGCGATGAAATGTCCGACTACCAATATAATTTGCTAGCTGTGTTTGTTTGTTTGTTTGTTTGTTCATACCTTGCAGAGCATCAAATCGGCCGACAAATCGTCAAATGTGTGTCGTGCGTTGCAGCGTGTGCAGGCGTACAACGGCTGATTCTCAATACTGAGGGCGTTTGCTGATGCTGATGATGTTGACGTTGAATTAGTCTTGCCCTGGTGGTGATTATTGTTCCGATCAGCGGATGACTGTTTAGCCTTGCTGACAACCGCTGCTGCCGCAGCAAGCGCCCTGCCAGTCTCCTCCACCGTCAAGTTGGCCAGCTCCTCGGTGGTCATGCCCAGCGTCTTGATCATCGGTCCCAGCTTGGAGAGGAGGTGCGGCGGAATTTTGGCCTGAGAGTCGGGCGCCGACTTGGCGATGGCCGTCTGAATTGCCTGCAACGCCTCATCGGGCGTCATCCGGCTGATGTCGCTCAGGCTGTAGCAGGTGATGTTCCCTCCACTGTCTTGCGCGGGAGATGAGGATGAGGAGGAGTTTACTGAGGTGGTGGAGGAGTTCATGGAGACGGGGATGATGTTTGAAGAGGTGAAAAATGGCGGCATTTTGTAAGCAGAAGAAGAGGAGGAGGCAGAAGAGGATGAGATAGAGGACTTCACGGGGATAGATGCATTAGCTAGGGTAGGGCCGCCCATTGAAAACTGCTGCTGAGACAGGGGCGGCGGTGGCGGCGGTGGCTGCAGCAGCTGCTGCTGTGGTGGTGGTGGTAGGGGAGGTGGCGGTGGTGGTGGCGGCGGTCCTAGCAGTCCCATCTTCGGAGGGGGCGGCTGCTGTGGGCCCAAGGGGTGCGTCATCAGCTGCTGGTGTGGATGTGGCAGCAGGTACTGCGGGTGCGGNGGGTGTGGCAGCGGCAGCATGCCCGGTGGTGGCGGCATTGGCGGAAAGTGGTGCGGGTGATGGTACCCCTGCTGCTGCTGCTGCTGATGGCCATGCTGAAAGGGGTGATGGGGTGGCGGGCCACCGCCAAACTGCAGTGGTGGCGGCATGGGCAGCAGTCCTGGTGGTGGTCCTGATGGCTGCTGCTGTTGCATGTCCCCTCCATTTTCCGGGTAGTAGAAGGGCGCAAAGAAGGGTGGCGGAGGTGGTGGCAGTGAGTGACGTTGTTGTTGTTGTCCACTGCCTCCATTGGCATTGCCACCACCGCCGCCGCCCATCATTCGAGAGGTGGGGCCCGAGAAGAGCGAGGGCGGAGGCGGAGGTAGGGCGTGTTGGCCAACTGACGAGGGCGGCGGCGGCGGCGGCAGCGAAGGTGGTGGTGGTGGTGGTGGAAGTGGCTGTTGCTGTCCAATTGCCGCCATGCTGGGAACAGACATGAAAATGTGAGTGTGATTGCTTGCCTGACTGCCTGTCTGTCTGTTTGTCTGTTTGCCCTAAGCAGAGTTGCTTGGCTGCGATCAGCCGATGTGTGTGTGTGTGTGTGTGTGTGTGTCTTCAAAGCTGGCGTGTTATCAGCAGCAAAGTTTGTTGGTGGTGGTGGTGGTGGTGGTGGCAATCAGTTGTCGGTGATCAGCACGGCGCACAGATCCAGTTACCAGTGGTCAGTGATGACGGTTGTGTTTGGAGGGGTGGGAGATGCGGTCTGGGCAAAAGTGCTGTGGCAAGTGCTGAAACGGCAGGTTCGTTGCCTGGCTGGCTGATAACACTTTTGAACTGGACAGTTTGTGTCGGTGTGTGTCACAGTTTGTTAACAGCAGCAACAGCAGCAGCAGTGTTCACTGACACTGACAATTGGAAGTGGTGATAGTGATGGCAATGGTGACAAGTGGTGAACAAGCAGGGCAGAGACACACTGTACAAACAGTAGTGGGCAGCAGCAGGGTGGACGACTGCTGTACGACGACAGTTCAAAACGGGAGAAATCGGGTGTGAATCGCGCAGTGTGTGGGCGCTTGTGCCCGGGCGACACTTCGAGCGGGCGGGCTGCTGCTGCTGCTGCAACGCAGGTGGCCCTTCAACCGCTGAAGGAAGAAGAAAAGACAAAGAAGGGGGTGATGGTGAAGGTGATGAGGGGAAAGACCGCACGATGGAGACAAATTAGCGGCCTAATACCTGCAGATCAAAGGCAGCGGCGGCAGCTGGGACGACCGTGCGCCTTGATCATCAGCACATCAAGTTCATCACACACACACAATCAGTTCACAGCAGTGAGAGAGAGAGAGGGCTGCTGCCATTGCTACTGCTGCTGCTGCTGCTGCCGCCGTTGCTGCTGTTGAGAAGGCTGCAGAGAAGAAGAAGAAAAAGAGAGCGAGCAAAGAGCAGCGAGAATGAGCGAGCGAGCGAAAGGCAAGCGCAAGCCAGCAGAGTGCATTCTCATACACACACACACATACGCTCAATGTGGTGTGATTAGAGCGAGAGCGAACGAGCGATGGCTGCTGCTGCTGCTGCTGCAAAGGAGCCTCTAAAGTTGAGGCAAAGTTTGTTTCTTCTGTTTCCCCCTCTTGTTCCCTCGCTCTCCAGTGCTGTTGTCTCAACGGCAGCAGCGGCAGACAAAGCCTGGCTACTGGAGTGGCTATAGTCGGCGATCTTAGCTGGTGGCAATGATGGCCGCTGCTGCGCTGTGTGATGTGAAGGGAGCGCTGGTCTTAGCTGCTGCTGCTGCCACTGCCACTGCCGCTGCAGCAATTCGGCAGATGACGGCAATTGCCACTGACTGGAGGCTCTGCTGCTGCTGCTGCTGCTGCTGCTATAGCACACTCGTGATCGGGACAGCGCGCCAGTGTCACTGGCCGACACGAGAGCTTTGATGCTGGGCTGCTGATGCTGCCGCCAATGCTGCAGATGTCGCTTTATTGCCTGTGCACAACAGTTTATACTTTTCTTTCTATCTGAGATCACCTTATGGTAGGGTTTTAGAGTTGGCACACAGTTGGCTGTCATTTCAAGCATTCTTTTTTGTAGGTAATAAATTGTTTTTCTAGTTATGTTTTACCTTTTTTAAACACGTCAAAACTGACTGATTGAACATATCTTGTTAGAGCAAAAAAGGTTTGCAATTGGACTGACGGAATTTTATTTCGTTTTTTTCGGTTTGTCAACTCTAATTGTCCTATTGTGGACTTGACTGGGGGTAATACGCAAATCGATCTGTCTGTCTGTTAGTATGCCTGCCTGCAATGTTTTGTTTCCTTTTGATTGGCGTGATTTGTTTTGGTGCGTTTGGTTGTCTGGTGGCTTGCCAAACGTTTTAGTTGCTGACAGGCAGCAGTTTGCACTTGTTTGCCTGTCTGTGTGCCTGTTTTCACTGTCTGCTTCAGTGTGGCACCAGTGATTTATGATCTCGACTATCATCATCATTAGAGGGTTGCAAAAAAAAGTTTCATTTCCCTTTCAACTTCGCCGCTGCTGCTGGTGTAACCAAGTTACCAGGTCGTCCAGATGGTTTTGCATTTAGCAACGACAAAGCAACAACAAAACTAGAAGTTTTTTTCTAGATGAATAAAATAGCAAAACACAACTTTTGCCATTTTTGTTATTTTCAGAAATTGAATGCGCCGGCTGGAAAAATGCTAAATGACCATCATCAATTACCACCACTAAACAGTGGTCACTACCACCACCACTGCCAAGCCTATTTGGTGCATACAGAAAAAATGAAACGCAAAAAAAAGATAATTAGTAAATTGCGTAGAGCAGAGGTGTCAAACTGAATAAATGCTACCGGAGTGGGGAAATGTCGTTTTGCCTTCAATTAATTAGTGCCAGTTCATTAGTGGAGAGAGAAAGAAGGAGAGGGCAAAGTGAGACCTTCCAATGGTGACCGACCACCAAACGACGACTGTTGCAGCAGTGTGATGATTTGTGCACACAGGTCTCACCTTGGGAATAACTGCCACTGCTGATGCTGCTGCTGATGCTGTTGTTGCTGCTGCTGTTGCCACTGAATCTTCTGGCCACAAGCACTGTCCACACCACTGTCACCAACGTCACCATTACCATTACCATTACCATTACCATGACCATCATTATCACCCTAATCAGAGTTCTGCTACTTATTAGTGCTCATTGCCATCACTGGAGCAAAAGCGACGACGGCGGCGGGGGATGTCCACTGTTAAACAGAGTTTTCACCTAGAGAGAGAAAGAGAGGACTGGACATTTTCTTGAAGAGGTGTCTCCTCTGAAGAGTAGTACAACCACTGTACGATGAAGCTGCTGATGCTGGTGACAACAGTGTTTGTGTGCAGCATTGTGGGCACACCACCACCTGTGCACTGTGCACGTCAACGTGAAAATGACTAGAAGACAGTGCATAGAGTGCCTGTTTGTTTAGTTAACCTTCAATGTATATCAGTGCACTTTGCAGTGTACTCCACACTGTTGCNTGACTAGAAGACAGTGCAGAGAGTGCCTGTTTGTTTAGTTAACCTTCAATGTATATCAGTGCACTTTGCAGTGTACTTCACACTGTTGCCACACACACACAGTCTGTCACACCGATGGGCAAACTGAATCTCTCTCTCTCTCTCTCTCTCTGCTTTCCCTCTTTCCCTCCCTCTCTTTTTTTTCTTATTTTTGTCATCTTTTGCTCTCTTCAAAACAGAGAAAGAGAGAATTGATCATCACCAGAGTCGATGATCACGACCACCACCACCATCACCACCACCAGGGATGGCCTTGCATCGCTAATGAGCAGTGATCGCCAATCGCCGAGTCAGTATAAAAGAACCGGCATCCACCTCGGTGAAGGTATCACAAGTGAACTTGCAGAGGAAAAAGAACTTCTTCCCTCTCTCTCACCTTCTGAGAACAACGCTGATCAACCACCGCTGATCACCGATCACTATGAACTCCACTTTGTCGTTTTTGCTGTTCCTCGCCGTGGGACTGCTCCTCGTGAGCGCCTTTCTTCCCTCGGCGGACGCCCAATGGGGCTATGGTGAGTCGATTTGGTAGAGTGTTTTGGGGATTGCTCATGCATCTCATCTCATGTAATCATCTGAACACCTTTTTTCTTTCATCCTAACTTAGGATACCGAGGATACGGTGGATACGGGGGATGGGGCCGTGGATATGGCTGGGGCTATCCTCGATACGGAGGCTGGGGCTGGGGCCGAGGCTATGGACACTGGGGACGCGGCTATGGCGGCTGGGGCCGAGGATGGTACGGCTAAGCTGTACTGAAGGCTGATTCTCAACCTGCAGTTTCCTTATCGAACCATTAATCGCAACAACCACAATAGGCAAGCAATGATAGGCAAGCAACCGTCGGCAAATATATAGAGATAGACTTTTTGTCATTAACACACCATTCCCTTCATCGTGGTCCCCACATCACGGTCAGGCGCACACCAACACACACACACATGCACTACTTTTGTATATTTTTCAATCGCAAAATTGTTTTTGTAATACAAATAAAAAGGTAAAAAGTATTTTAATTGTGACTTTTTGTTTTTAT